ATGTTGCTATCAGAAGGTGTATCTGATAACCATTTGTTCGTTTATGGTGGCCCTGATCGATAAGTGGTTGTTCTCCTTTGCTCTAAAAGCCCTTCTATTATCATTAGTTTCTTATCCGACCTTCGCCTTCCATGTTATCATTAGTTTCTTATCCGTCCTTCACCTTCCCTATTATCAATTTAATGTATTTTCTCATTCTAATTTTTATTTTTAAAGAATTGACGTGACATTAATCTCTAGATCTTTAAAACATAGACATCAAATGAGTAAGGAGAAGAGAGAATTACTTGAATGGAAGAATTGAGAATCGAACAGCAATGAAGTCACATCCAGGATCATCTCCCAACCAATGGAGCAAGTTTATTGACCTCCGCTCATCATAATTGAAAAAGATGCACCTTGTAGCAATAACCGCCTTCTTTTAATCAAATAAAATAGCTAGTTTATTGGCCATAAAAGTTCTGTGCAAATGTCAAGGAGAAAGTGCAGTAAAAGATTCTGAGTTCTTTACAGTTTGCACCAAACTGTTATGTCTAGAAGTTAAGCTGGAGACTTTTTAATGTTAGAAAGCAATTGAATAAAAAGAAAGGAGCAAGAAATATAAAGAGAAGACCTGACTGGTGGTCATGTTTTAGATTGAGAAAGTACTTCAAGACAAGTTTACAACATCACCTTAGAAGCATCGTGGCAGTAAGGAAGAAGCTCCAGTTATCCTGCTGGCGGCAGTGGCTATCAAAATCACAAGCCCCTAATCAGCCTTCACAGGTGGCCATTAACGACTCAGATATATATAGGAACATTTTTAGTTTTAGGAATTAATAAGGCACAGTCATGATGTCGTATAATAGATCTCTAAGTATTCCTTAATGGGGATTCGTTTAAATTCGAGTGTAGTGCTGATGGACCTCCCATCACAAAGGTATATGTGAGGAGGAAGGGGAGGGTGAGAGAGTAAGTGCAAACCGTTCTCTTGTTGGCCCAGGGAGGAAAATGTTATACGTGGCAGAGGGGTCTAAAGTTAGTTAGAGGAGAGAATTTCTGGATTATTCCTTGAGGTTAGTATATGTACTTTTCTGCTTCTTGAGGGGATTATCTTTTTGCACTTGAGTCCATAGAAGGATAGGAAGGAGAGGTACGGGAGCTCTCTAAATCTCCCTTGATATTGTAATCTGTCTCTCATATATAAATAATAGAAGCAGAGTTCTATCAAGTGCTTAGTTTGCACGGTCTCTAAGGACTTCAATATCCATCTTCAGTTGGGTCAGTTGCCTGAATCTCGTAATGGATTCCCTCCAATTCCCTTCTAAACCTGTCCTTTGATGTTGCATAAAGCATCTTGGAACGGATCCTTGATACAGATGGAGACCTGCAAAGATAGTAATCGTCAAAAAATCACAAGAGCTGGAGTAGATCATCTTGAGCAAGAGTGCATCAAACAGTCACTCAGTCAGCATAACCACCGCACCACTTTATTTCTACGCCGGCACAACTATAATAACAGTATCAAAACATTGAATATGTCTGCTAGTGTACAGAAAATGTAAGAAATCAGGTATGGAACTACAGACTGGATGCGTCCCCCTAGAGGAAAGAGTGTCAAAGATTGGCAGGTAATTGCCAATGCCTTGTAGAACCAGACTGCAGGTCAAAAATATTACAATAAGAATAGTTATGAATGAACGGTTTCTTGGTACAACAGCAAAGCAATAGCAAGAGGGCGGGAACTAAAACAACTGATTATGTTATTACAACAACAGGGCAAACTCATGGAGCAATTTAACAACCAAGTGGAATTACTAATCTCAGATAATATAAGTAGAAAACCACCCTCGTATATAAATTTCCTAAATCCCTGTTGTTAAAGGCAGAGTGACATATATAACGCTTAACTATACAACAAGACAATAATTTCATGAAACAATATCGGAAAGAAAGTTGATCAAATACGTTAGGTATTTGACGGCTCCCCAAAATTTTCACCGTTCATCCATACCACAAGGCATTTGTGTTTTTAATTCATGCCAGCTAAGCTAGAAATATCACCTGATCTTTAGGTTTAACACAAAGAAAAATACTTGATATAATGAGATGGTTAAAGAACATGAAAGTAAGCAGAATCTTGCAGATACAGTAATGAAAGTTCCAAGAAGTAAATGCAATACTCCTTTAATACTAGAGGTACCAATAGTTGGAGGTTGAACCTGATAACAAACATAAAAGGAACAAGAAGAAAACTAAACAATAAGTCAAATTACTGAACTAACCCGGGAAATACTTTTAAAATGAATTAAAATAACTAACCATGAAATGAAAAAGATTTTGCTCTTTTGGTAGTTCTCAGAAGTCACAAAATCAAAGTCAAAAACTGCATATCTATAGTCATTCTCAGGCAACGAAGCAGTGAAATCATCAAAGCTCTCAGCTGGGCTCCCAGTCTTTTCCACCACCACCTCTTTTTTCTTTTCATCAATCATAAAAATCACATACCGGTGAACCTTCTTTCGCTGAAGTTCCAGGTATGTGCTTTTGCTATGCTCAGTGTCACAACCATACTAGTAGAGAGTAGGTTGTGACGCCCACGTAGTGTGCAAGTGTCAGCGACAAGCATATGTCGCCCATCGGGCCATGTCAAG